TGCGTCAGCGCTTCCACACTTACTCTCTTTGCTAGGCTGGTGGTAAAGCTGGGAAGGACTCTGGAAAGACCAAGACCAAAGCAGTGTCCCGTTCTCAGCGGGCTGGGTTGCAGGTGAGCAGGGACTGGGGCATGGGCAAACGAAAGTCAGGTTGGCCTTCCATCTCTTGGTTGGTTGTACTTTGTGAAACCTGCACAGTCTGCTTTCTGTTGTCCAGAATGGTGTAGGGATCTGTTTGATCCTTGAGTGCATTAATGTCTGGCTTGGCTCTTTTTAGACCTCTTGTATATCTGTGCAGGAGGGAAGAGAATTCCCTTGGGCTGTTGCTACTGCTTGTGGTTAGAACTGGGCATGTAAGTCGTTTGGATTCTCAAATGTTGGAATGTAGTCTAGTACCAGTTGTACTTCTGCCACTGGGATTCTGTTGCCCAGCATGTAGCTTACAGTAGTGGCTTTCTTTTTCTGTCTCTGTTGTCACAGCCTATTCATACTTCTGTTATTTTCCAGTTCCCTGTTGGCCGCATCCACAGGCATCTGAAGTCTAGGACTACCAGCCATGGGCGTGTAGGAGCCACAGCTGCTGTGTATAGTGCTGCAATCCTGGAGTATTTGACAGCTGAGGTAAAGCTCCTGCAAGGGCTGCAAGCAAGTTGGTGAACTCTGAAATGGCATAATGACCAGAACCTACTGTGTTTTGTGAGCTTGGACTGGGCTGTGAGTTCTTCACTTGCTTTGAGCTAGTTTTAAGTGCGTGCATCATTGGGAGACCATGAAATATGCATGGGACCTTTCACTCTGCATTTTATGCAGATCAAGGAGTTGTTGCTTACAAGAAGGATGAAAGTGTGAATTATTTTATAAAAATGTGCCATTACAGCATGTCGTATCTGCTGTAAAACACTCTGGGGTGGGGGGTGACTAGATGCAGAGGTCCAAAGGAGAAACCCTCTCAAAAGAGGCATTGCTTGCTGTTTTGGTGTCACTAATATGGTGTTTGCTTGTAGAGAATAAAATAGCTAAGGCCCCATGCAGCTGGCCTCACTTGACTTGTGTAATGGAGTTTAAAAATGGTCTTGTCCTCAGGTTCTTGAGCTGGCAGGAAATGCATCCAAAGACCTGAAGGTGAAACGTATCACTCCCCGTCACTTGCAGCTTGCAATTAGAGGAGATGAAGAATTGGACTCTCTCATTAAGGCAACAATTGCTGGTGGTGGTATGTAAATTGCTTACTGTTTGTGATGAGTTGGGTGGCAGGCATTCAAACAGGTGTAGAGGTTGCTTGATGCTATCATTTTACTTGAAGTGCAAAGTTTAGGAAAATGGTTGATGAGAAATAATATGATCTTAATTGTTGCTCTTTCTTAGGTGTAATACCGCATATCCACAAGTCTCTCATTGGAAAGAAAGGACAACAGAAGACTGTCTAAAGCATACCAGGATTCCTTGTTATCTCAGGACTCTTAAGTACTTAATTGTCCAGTGTTGGTGATTCCAGTGGACTGTATCTGTGAAACACAATTTTGCCTTTTTGTAACTTTGAGAAGCTAAAGCTCCCTTGAGCTTTCTAACAAACCAAATTTCTGCATTGAAGTCTTAACCGTATTTAAGTGTTACCATGGCTTCAAAGAAGCTATTGTATTTGTAGTGGGTTTTGATTGAGCTGACTGTTTTTAGATTGGTTTAAGTAAAGGAAATGTTTGGTTTTGTACAGACTTTTCATCCACTAGAGTGGAAATATTCAATAAATGTTATATGAAGACTGATCTGTCTCTTGTCTGCTAACTGAAAAAATAAGAGTTGTTCCCAGAATGTGTGACTGACAATCTTACCAGCTGGGCTTGGACTACCTGGGAACAGAGTCCTGGAATACCGCAGTTAGTACATCAAGCAAAATGGTGCATGGGCTTTTATTGTGCAAAGTTACGTTCCTTTAGCAGGGCAGGTGTAAGGCTGGTGCTATTCACATTGTACCTGATCTCAGCCTTTGTAGAGGGAAGGGATTTATCACATGGGAGGAAGAAGGTAATGGATGTTGAAAATCAACAACTTCAGTTGATTTTCTTTATGATAGAGCCTGACCCCTCTCACCCTTTCTAAAAGATCAGGGAGAGACACCCGTGAAAGCAGGGCCTATACTGCAGCAGCCTCTTGCCTCATGGTGCATGAACTTCAAGGAAGAGTCTAAAACCTGCTTCTAAAGAAGCAATAGCTCTGTCCTGGTGTAGTGCTTTCATGGGTGGGCTTCACTGCTGCAGGGGTCTGCGTTGGCTTTCTTTTAGTCCAAAGCCCTGCAGTGATGAGGGGCCAAACTACACCATCAGAGTCAAGGATAGAGAGTTAAAGTTACAACTTTAACTTGTGCCACACTGTAATCTGCTGCTATGAGGACACTAAAGGGGGTTCTGGTTACATCTCCACATCTTGTCTCTGCAAACCCATTCCTTGTGGAGAAGGCTTGACCCTTGTTGTGGTAAGTGAAACATCAGTGCTTGGGTGAGGCAAAACGTGCTGTCAAGCGTGCTCCCTGTGGCTGGGGGGCAGCAAGCTCCAGCCTCCCAGACCTGCTCCCCCAGTAGTGAAACACTTCAGATAAAGATGCTTCTGCACTGAACAGGCTCATGCGTCTCTGCAGCCTCTGTCAGGTAACAATCTCTGCTGTGGTGCTGGCGCTGGAAGGTGTTGGCCTAGATCCTAAACGTGGGTTAGGCCTGTGTTAACTGCGCTTGTCCCCTGGAGCTGTGGTGCTTTACTGGAGCAACACCTGAGTGCTCTCCTCCTAGCAACACAGTCCTTGGCAGGATGTAATTGATGCTGCTAATTACAGCGAGCAGTTACAAGGTGCTAACAAATACCTCAAAGCATAGGTAATGCACCGTAAAGAATGACAACGCGTGGGCTCTTTTCACTTCTGGGGGGGTCCACACCGGCCGCC